ACTTCGGTGCGCTGCCTGTGCTCGAGCTGCCTGGACTGACACACTGCCTCTTCGCCGGCGGTGTCGCTGTCTCGCTGCCTGCGGCAAGCAGCTCGCCAGACAGACTCCTCTTAACAGGTCTGTCCTCCTGTCTGTCTGGGCTTGCTTCCGCCATGGCCGCGCAGCCAACTACGAAAAAAAACAAAACAAGCTCACTGTGCTGAGTTGACTTGTCTTTTCTGCCTTCCTGCTTCTACGCTTGCGGGCTAGGTCGCTGAGTGCTTGTCCCTCTTGCTGCATGGCCTGCTTCGCTGTTTGCCCAGTCTTGGCTACAGTCTGACTGGCTGCGCGCCTGCCAAAAGAGCGTTCAAATCTGCCTGTCTGCCTGCGGCCTGCTCGCTTATGCATCAAGGAATGGCTCCGCCGGCGGTCGCTACTGGGCAAAAATTTACCTTGGAGGCCATAGCTACTAGATAGCTTGAGGATCTTGCTGATAGGCTTGTGGCCCTCGCCCCTAGCTCGTCTACCGTCCTTACCTCCTTCAATTCTAGGCTGGTGGCCATCGGTCGTGCATCCTAGCTGCTCCCCCCTCGCTGAACTTCCTGCGCGCGGACTGTTGCCAAGCTTTGACTGGCTGGCTGCCTTTAAAAAAAAAGCCATGCTCTGACTTGTCTGGCACTGGGCAGGTTGATATCCTCTTGCCCCAATCCTCCAAACATGCCGCGGCCCTATAATCAATAGAGGATATCAACCTGCCCTGCCTCTCTAGCCGCCTGCTGGCGCCTGGCTCTGCTGGCTGGCTGCCTCTAAACTGGCTGACTAGCTCTGCTCTCTGCCAGGCTGCCTCCCTGGCTGTCTACATGCCTGGCGCCAAGCTCTGACTGTCTGGCTGCCTTTAACGGCTGGCTGTCTGTCTACAAGCTACGCTGGCTTTCTCGCTGTGTCTCTGGACTCCCTGGCTGCAAGCCTGGCGAACACCCGCGGCCAGACTTCGCCGCCCCACGGCACGTACTCCCGGCAACCCGCCGCGCAGAACAGACACGCCTCGCAACCGTGCCTGGCTGGCTGGCTGCGCGATGAGCTGCTGCCTGTGCCTCTCTCAGCTGCCAGCTGTGCTGCCTCTGCTTCGAGCTCGCTTGTAGCCTCTGCACAACTCTTCTACCTCAAGCTCTCTGCCTTTCTGGCGCAGCTGCTTCCTGAACTCCCTGGCTGTCGGCGCTGTCTGGCTCTGGGCTTTCTGCGCTGTCACAGTGCGATCTGTCTGTGCCAACTGGCTAGCTGCCTCTGCCTGACGGCAGGGAGACAAGGCGGAGCAGTCGCCCCTAAGCCCTCGTGGCCGGCACCGTCCCCGGCCAGGACTCATGTCGAAATAAACAAACATGCCAAAATGACGAAATCAAAGCCCTGCGTGGCCCTGCAAAACCAATGTAAACACTGGCCGGTACCGTCCCCGGCCTGGACTCCAGATCTGCATCTAACTCATCAAAAAATTCAACGGATGAAACAATGATTCAACAATGGATTGCACGTGTGGAGGAGACGCATGGAAACTCGCTGTGCTTGCTGGACGACTGATTGACAAGGACTAATTGATGAAAACATAAACACACATGCGGAAATGACACACATCAAAGCCCTGCGTGATCCTGCTCAACCAATGAAACAATGGCCGGTACCGTCCCCGGCCTGGACTTCCGCTCTGCATCTAACTCCTCAAAAAACCACGGATATGAACAATAATTAAACAATGGAGTGCACGTGTGGAGGATACGCATGGAAAGTCGCTGTGCTTGCTGGAATGGAAAAAAGAATGCCAAACACCGCAGATATGTGCCGATGAAAAAATCCAGTCAATCATGGCCGGTACCGTCCCCGGCCAGGACTCCACAAATGAAAAAATCAATGGATCTGAACCATTTGAGGATGAATGTCAGGCCTCTGCCCCTGGCAAAGAGGGAATGGAGTCCAGGTCTGCCGCAATTTCCTGACTGAGTGTCAGCGGCTGCTCTGCCTGGCTGTCCTGCGCCACAGGCGGTAGGGGCAAGCCATACATCAGCTCTTCGATCATGGCTTCGTACATGGCTCCCTGGCTGTCTGGTACTTCCTGGCTGTCTGCCATTCCTGGTGAAATGGCCAGGTTGCTGCCTTCGGACCTCTGCACAAGATCTGTCGGTCGTCGCTCAACCGCTTGACTGCGAATTGCCTCAAGACTGTCGCACTGTCGCGAATCTGCTCTGCCTCCCTGGGTCTCTAATAAGTACTAGGTTGGAGCCCTCGCTGCTAGAAAGGAGCCCTCTGGAGCCTAGACCTAACTAATTAATTAATCAATGACTAGGCTAATGACTGGGTCGAAGGCCATTGCTACTTATTATTTGGTTCACCGCCTCCCTGGCTGATCTTCCTGCGAGCGGACTGTCGCCCAGCTCTGCTGGCTGGCTGAGGCTGGCTGCCTTTAATTAAACAACTGCCTGTCGTTGACTAAAAAAATACTTGTCAACCACAAGCCCACAGCTGCAACCTCCCTGCGCAAGCTCTCTACGCGCTGACGCTGTCTAAACGTCTCTCTGTCTCTCACTCCGTGCTGTCTGACCGTCTGATCGAACCTGTCTGCCTTCACTCACTGCTCTTCCTTCCTTGCTTCTTTGCTGCAGGCCCACGGCTGCCTGCTCTGCTGGCCGCTGGCAGAGAGGAAATAAGTTCACGTGAAACAACACCACCGAACGATCGAACTTAGATATCTATCTAAAACTTTTTTCGAACCAGATTCGAACTTCGATCCTACAGCGAGACTGGCGATTCGCTAAAGGACGTCCATATGGGCCACCTACTAATGAAAACGGCGTCAGTTTCCTCTATTAGGTGGTGCCTCTTTGGCTCTCTGGCTCTGTGGCCATCCCTCTATGTTGCCGGTTTTTTGCATTTTCGATGTCAGTTTTACTACAGATTTTATCTAAAACTTTTCTCGAACCAGATTCGAACTTCAATCCTACAGCGAGACTGGCGATTCGCTAAAGGACGTCCCCATGGACCACCTATTAATGAAAACGGCGTCGGTTTCCTCTATTAGGTGGTGCCTCTTTGGCTCTCTGACTCTGTGGCCATCCCTCTATGTTGCCGGTTTTTGCATTTTCGATGTCAGTTTTACTACAGATTTTATCTAAAACTTTTCTCGACCTAGATTTGAACTTATAGATCCTACAGCGAGACTGGCGATTCGCTAAAGGACGTCCCCATGGACCACCTATTAATGAAAACGGCGTCAGTTTCCTCTATTAGGTGGGGCCTCTTTGGCTCTCTGACTCTGTGGCCATCCCTCTATGTTGCCGGATTTTTGCATTTTCGATGTCAGTTTTACTACAGATTTTATCTAAAACTTTTCTCGACCTAGATTTGAACTTATAGATCCTACAGCGAGATTCGCCTCCTTCCGAGCCACGCGGCCACCTATTAACGAGAACTGCGTCACGTTCCTCTATTAGGTGGTACCTCTTTGGCTCTTTAACTCTGCTGCAATCCCTATATGTTGCCGGCTTTGTACATTTTCGATGTCAGTTTTATTACGGATTCTATATAAAACTTTTCTCGACCCAGATTCGAATTCAGACCTGCAGCGAGATTCGATTGGTGATCTCCAAAAAAAGCACCGATTAACGAATACTGTCTCAGTTTCCTCTAATTAATTGTTAGGTGCTGCCTTTCTGGCTCACTGACTCTTGACAAAACATAAATCTGCCTGCTCCGTCTGCTGCCTCGAGCCTGCTGTGCTCACTCTGCGTGCCCGCTCCCTCGCTCTCCCGACCAGGACATGGCTGTGCTGTCTGCCTGCCTCTTCGCAGACTCCACACGGACCGGTCCCGCTGTCTGTCTCGGGCCCACAGCATGCGCAATGCGGCTGTCTGCACTGCCTGCCCCTTCCTCGCAACCCTGGCTTTCTGGTGGCTGCAAGTCGCAGCGGCCCTGCTCTGGCTGGTTCCGTATGAGAGTGACACCCTGCTGAAACCACATCCTTCACTCAGAAGCTATGCAAAGTGCCCTTCAAGGTTCACGACACACTGCGCCTGCCACGCAAAATACACCTCCAGCTCAAGAAAGCCCTGCGCCTGCCACGACATCTGCATTTCCAGGACCTCAAAGTCCTGCGCGCGCCACGAATTCTGCACTTCAAAGTCCATAAAGTACTGCGCCTGCCACGAAATCTGCACTTCAAGGTCAAAAGAGCACTGCACCTGCAACGAAATCTGCATTTCTATGTCAACAGAGTACTGCGCCTGCCACGAAATCTGCACTTCAAGGTCAACAAAGTACTGTACCTGCCACGAAATCTGCCCTTCAAGGTCAGCAAAGTACTGCACCTGCCACGAAATCTGCACTTCAAGGTCAGCAAAGTACTGCGCGCGCCACGAATTCTGCACTTCAAGGTCAACAGAGTACTGCACCTGCCACGAAATCTTCATTTCAAGCTCAACAGGGTACTGCACCTGCCACGAAATCTGCATTTCAATGTCAACAGAGTACTGCAACTGCCACGAAATCTGCACTTCAAGGTCAACAAAGTACTGCACCTGCCACGAAATCTGCACTTCAAGGTCGAAAAAGTACTGCAACTGCCACGAAATCTGCACTTCAAGGTCAACAAAGTACTGCACCTGCCACGAAATCTGCACTTCCAGGTCAGCAAAGTACTGCGCGCGCCACGAATTCTGCACTTCAAGGTCAACAAAATATTGCACATCCACTGAGCCTATTTTGGACGCCCTGATTTCAGGGACCCCCTATTAGAAAAAATGCGACCGAGGCTTTTTTAATAGGGGGGGGGGCGTGTTTATTAATAGGAGGATGGGATTAATTTGGGTGACTTCGGGTACCGGCAGCCTTGGTACAAGAAGCTGCGGTCCAACAGTGTGGCGTCGACGGCTGCCTGTCCAAGCCCGCGCGCAACCTCGCCAGGAACGGGGAGATGTCCGGCTTATACTCGCCGAAGCGCCCCTTGCCCAACGTCGCGCCTGCCAGAAAGGCCTCCATCAACCGGATGACCATGCAGGCCGACGCCGACGCATCGCGCCAGGTGCAGGCGAAGGGCAAGTACGGGCAAGGGCAGCGGCCACAGTCTCGTAGTTCCCATGCTCCGTCATCTCCAAAAACAAGCGACTGTTTCTGGCATAGTGCTCGTTGTCGGTGACTTCCTGCATGATGCCCGCCAAAATGGCGTAGTCACAGAAGTGCACATGTTGGAGTGCACCTTTGAGCCAGGGCATTGCAGAAAGATCACCGACAAACGCAGCACTGTCCAGGAGCAAATGCCCATCCCAGTGGTCGATCAAGGTGCCCAGAGACAATACTTTTTGCTCTGTGGTATGGGCCTGGCGCGACCGCGTCGCCGTCAAGCCCGGATAGATGTTCTGTCGCTCCAGGAAATAGCTCTAGAGTTGTGTGATGGTGTTTTGTGTCAGGGGCTCGTGGGTGTGAAGAGTGAGAAAGTCCAGCAGAGGCTGACACCCTCCAAGCAAAGTGCATGCCCGCAGGGGTTTACCCCAGCGGATTGAGAGCCAAGGCAACTTACTGCTCTGCCCATGAAAGTAAAGGCCTCTTTCAGCATGTTTAGAGAACCTTTGTATAGGAGGACAGCTTGACAACCCGGCTGCCGGCTGAGGCTAGAAACCCAGACTGACCAACAACCCTCGGTTTCTGCGGCGTTTGTGCCGGATAGCCGCAGACGACCCTGTAAATTGCGTGGTCTCAGCCAATGCTTGCAGACAGGACGAGCTGAAAAACACTGGTATTTACGAGGTTTTGTAGCCGTCGATCCACAGCCGCGGCAAGGTTTAAGGCCATGCTACAAGACAGGAGGAGCTCAAAACATTGGTATTTACCATGTTTTGTAGCCGTCGATCCAAAGGCGCACCACGGTTGTGTGCTGGGAAAACGCAGAAAACCGTGTAAATACCGTCGGTTTCTGCCAGGCAGGCGCAGAAAACCGTGTAAATACCGTCGTTTTCTGCCAGGCAGGCGCAGAAAACCGTGTAAATACCATCGTTTTGTGCAATTGCGAAGCCTCCGGAAGCCTCAAAAAGCCTTTCCGACAACATCTTTACTGGTTTTTGGTCATTTTTCGGTCATTTTTCAAACCAAGACGCATCAAAGACTATCGGCTTTTACGGTGTTTTTTGCCGGACAGCCACCAAAAACACGGTAAATTGCGTGGATTTCGGCCACAGTTGAAGACTGGAAGAGCTGAAAACACTGGTATTTACAGTGTTTTGGAGCCGTTGACCCCGAGGCGCGCCAGGGTGGAGTTGAAAGGGGGGGGGGCCGGCCAGCAAACGAATATGTCGGGGGCAATTTTTCAGTGAGAAAGGCTCCACTCTGGCTTTAATACATTTTTGCTAAAGCAAAAGGAAAACTCATGTAGCGTAACCGCTACCTTTCGTGATTTTAGGATATCTCCCGTGAAAGTTTTCATACTCACACTTACATACTTACACTTGCATGCTTACACTGGGATACTTACGCTTGCATACTTGCACTTGGATGCTTTCACTTGCAAACTTTCAGTTGGATACTTCAGTGCCATTGTAAGTATAGAAGTGTAAGTGTTCAAGTGTATAAGTATAGAAGTGTACAGTAAGTGTTCAAGTGATTTTCCGGAAGAACCCTTCGCAATGCTTTCGGGAAAAAGAAAAACTGGCCGCCATGTGACCCTGCATAACCTTGGGTCTGATTGCAAACAGGTGCTTCACCATGTGTTGTGTTCGTTGCAGATGTTACGCAGAGCCAGCCGGACCTGCACCAGCCATGTCGCTGTCCGCTCCCTTGAGCCACAAACGGGTGTGGAGCCTTCAATAGGGAGACCCCCGAACTCTCACCCCCTCTCATCTCGCTGGGTAGACTGGTCTATTTCCCGAACCTTCCAAGGGGTGGCGGGGAGGTCTCCCTACCAGCAGTTCCATGGAGTTGGGTGCCGGCGCCGAACAAGACGATAGACTGGACGGGACGAGCCAAGCCATTGCGACATGGAACTGCTGGTATTGATACGTATACCAGCACCTTCAAAGGGGGGTCACCAATGGAAGCCCCTACACTACCTAGGGATCTCCATTGGACACCCCTTTGAAGGTCCAGGTATATCTTATATTTGTTAATGTTTGTTTTATCTATTTGGCCTATATGTGGCATATTTATCTATTTGGAACTGGTATTGATACGTATCGTTGAATCCACTCCCAGATGATGTCGCACCTCGGAGGTTCTCCGCGCACCTTCCACCCAGGGCGCCCGGCACACTGAGCTCGCCCAGCCGGAGGCCTCGGTTCCGGGCGAGCAACGAAGGGAGGTGCCAAACCCGGCTGGCAGAGGTGTATGTAGAAACGTGGCCATGTTTGGAATGGAAGTAGGACTGGTGACTGATTGTGTAAAAGTGACAATAGATGTTGGCATTCAGGATGGCAGTCATCCACATGACATGGGAGGAATTGTCAAAATATTCTAAAAATGCGTTGTAAAGCCACTTATAGGCCAAAGATAAAACAATCATTAACAAATATCAGATATATACCTGGACCTTCAAAGGGGTGTCCAATGGAGATCCCTAGGTAGTGTAGGGGCTTCCATTGGTGACCCCCCTTTGAAGGTGCTGGTACATAGATAGATTCATGCCTTGGCAAGAGTGTCCACCCACCTCACCCACCCACCGAACCCACGTGACGTAGCTCAGCTTTCTGGGCTGGTTGTTCACCGTCCGTCGGTTCCGCCCAGACACATTCTTCCACAATGCATCGCAGAAGACCAACCTGCTGATACCTCGGGAGGGGAGAACCACGGACCGCGCGGACTGCCCGGAGGAGCGCGGATGACATGAGGCTCCCTGACTCCCTCAGTTTCCCCGGAAGAAACAATGCGTAAGCCTTTTCATCCTTTTTGCATCAGTTCAGATTTCGGAGGGAGTCAATCCCCAGAAGGTTTTGCCAACTGATGGGTTGCTATCATTTGTTGCCTCCATCTTCGTATCCGGAGCAGCTGGCACCAATTAATTCCTCCTGACCCATCCGGTGGGTCGAAATCCGGCGACAGCAGTTGGCGCTCCAAAGACAAATCCCAGAACCCCTCAAATCAGCTTACCAGCTCGCTCGTCGCCATGGCCACCATCTCTGCTTCCACTCTCCCTCCAGGCCAAAGAACTGGGCCATGTCAACCCGACCACCAGAGTCCTCCAAGGCCGACCACCAGAGTCGGGGGAAGCCGCCCAGAGGCTCGTGGGGGCGGTGGAGAGCCGAAGTGGTTTCAGTCTCTGCAACTCTTGAGTTGGACCCAAGCTCGGTACGGTACGACTGGGCCACGGTCGGCTGATTTGTATGTCTGACAGACAGAAAACGGGACGAACTGTACCAGGACACACAGGACACACAGAACCCAAGGTGGTTGATTGGACACAACCTCTTTTCAATCTATTAACCGATCTATGAATATCTATGCATAGACACCCCCCAAAAAGGGGCTCTGGAATATGTTTATCTTGCATGGCACATGCACGCATTTATGATCATTTATGTTAGAAGTCGAAGTACGGGTTTTTGGAGCTCGTGCCTTTTACACACATGAGTTCATTCATCTTCCAGATCGATGGACCCTCAAAGGGCTGAAATCCAAAAGCAACGTTCGGGGATTTGCTGTCCAGGAAAAAACACGTTGAAATAGAATTACATTTCCCAGAAGAGGATTCAGCCATAGGGAAAGTAAAACAAATCACCCTACAAGCAAAACCAAGCTTTCATTCAGGATGTTCAGTCTTCCATCTTCCGCCCGCTAGACTCTGGCCGATGACTGGACTAGAATTTGTGCTCAGTCCACTCTCCATCATGCTGATAACGAACAATCTTCTTTGCAATCTGCGCTTCCACCTACACTCTGCCTGCCGTTCGCCAAATGGGATGCAAACTTCGGTCTGACATGGTCTTTCGGTCGAGGACATTCCTGGACTTGAACAGGGGAATGCCATGCCATGCCATCCAAACCAGGGATCCTCTCAAACCAAAACAACTCGTCTTCATCTCCTGGATGAAGTGCGGGACCATATCGCCCAACCCAGCATCCTGGTAGACACAGGGGGGTCACGAGCTTCACCCTGAAGAGAATGCCGGGCAACCTCAGAAATTCCAGGATATTATATATATATATAATATACTTGGACGGGTGTCCAATGGAGATCCCTAGGTAGTGTAGGGGCTTCCATTGCTGACCCCTTTCAAGGTGCTGGTATATATAATATATATATATATACCACTTGTAGTATAGCGTCAGAATGGAACCAACCAACATGTTTTCCAACACCACTTGTTGTATTCTGAATCGGCCAAGAACAAAAACCGTGTCACGTGACGTGACGCCCCGCGGACATCCGACCGAACTCACCGTTGCCGACCTCTCGAGGTGCCTGTGGTTTGGTGACGTTGTTTCTTTGGGGGGAGAAAGAGAGGGGCAAAGAAGAAGATCAAACATGCAGTTTCCCGTGAACTCCTGCAGTTTCCGCAGAAAAAATCCCCACTTTCAATCTTTGACCATGTTTCAGCTCGGAGCCGGCTGTGTTCTCACCACCCGGCTGAAGGAACCTCACCACCCCCTACCTGCACCCCCAGGCAGTACAGCAGCAGCCCAATGCGATAGGTGATCACCTGCCTGTGAGGCCGCCGCAGACGCCCAGAGGCGAACGGCGACGGCGTGGAGCGAGTCGGTTGGAAGCCATGCCAGACACGACCCGTCTGGGACTGCCATATGCGCCGCCCCAGAGAGACCCCCCTGCCACCCCTGGCCGTTTTGAAGGCAGTCCGGACTGGCAGTCCCAGACGGGTCGTGTCTGGGCGGACCGAAGTTGCTCAAATCGGGAAGAGACCTACATGGAACTTGGCGACCAGACTGGAAGACGACGTACTCCTCTACAAGCCGACGTGGTTCTTTCAGGTTTCATGTGGGTCTCTTCCAGAGTGGTATGGTTGCGTCCGTCAGGAACGTGGACAACAGCCACTGAGGGGCATGTGGGGAACCGGCAGCAAAAAAAACATGGGAACCAGGACCGAGCCCCGCATGAGGTCAAGATTGAGTCACAAAGGGAGCGGTGAGGCCGCCATGTCCGTCCCTATGCAAACAACAACTTGCCGTCATCCTTCTACAAAGACATAAATCAATATAAAAAAAAATATATATATATATATAAATAAATAACTATATATAAACAAAGAGATCCTGTGTCTGTCTGTGCTTGTGTTGAAAGCCGTGAACCCATGCATCGTGGTGTTTTTCGCATTCCAAGACCGAACTGTCACGGTTTTTTCGCGAACGGGTCTGAGTGTGTTCTCTTGCCGTTCGGCCGTGTTTTTCAGGGAGCGCGACCACACAGTCTCCAGGGAGCGCGGCCAGACGTTGCTCTCATCCACGGGTTCATCTTGTACCTCCATCGATCGGGTGGATGAGCCACTGGGCTGTGCATGGGTTGTTCTGGGCACGGTCGCGGCCAGGCATCATCTGTTTAGAAAAGCCATGCACATCGGTCCGGTCTGTGCTACCGCCTGTTGCAACACGTCGGTCCGGTCCTCGGGGGTTGATGAAACATGTCGTTGTGCCTAACTGAATTGATGACTGATTAGGAGAAGAAGCCTCTGTCTGCGACCGTGGTTGCCGTGATTGACTGTTATATATATATAATCTGGTGGATATGTCTTCTTCCAAAAATGGCTGAAAGTTGTGTTCACATGGGGGCCCGCTACATATTCTTTACTTTTGGCACACACACAGAGCTGGTTAATGAAGGAAACATGGACCAAACAAGTGTTGGCGCCAAATTGTAAGAGGTGTCACTAGCGCTGCACCGTTTTCAGCTGATCTCCGATCTTCAAGCCATGATTGAAACAAAAGACATGTTGCAAGTCAGCCTTGGAAGGGTCCACGCTGGAATCTGGCAATGTTTGCTAGCGCGGATCTAGCGCAGTGCTAGCGCGCGGTTAGCGCATTTTTCAGCTAGCCACTTTTCAAAAGCCTGACGACGCTCTGAACATGTGCTAAGGCAAACACTAGCGTCACTAGCGCAAGTCTACTGCAAACCTGCTGCAGAATAGGTGTGTTTAGCTGGGGGCCCGCTACATAATCTAATTGAAAAGCAACATCATAAGCTACTTTCGACCCTTTATATGCTTTTTGATTATAGACTTTTGGCCGGACTACATGTGTTCCACCCACCAGGGTGATGTGAGGGTGTAGATGTGGAAAAATAGACCAGTCTACCCAGCGAGAGAGAGGGCAACACATCGGGTCAGAACCCCCCCCAACGATCAAAACACCTCCGGTCCATATCGCGAAGAATCCTTAGCAGCCTTAGCCTGGAGGGTCGGGTGCATCCCACACCTACATCATCGGAATCCAGGAACAAGAAGCTATACTAGGGGCTCCTGGCCGAAGCTACGAACGGGGCTCCTGGCCGACGCTAGTAGGAACAATCGGACGCTACGAGCGGAGCAAAAGGGCTACAATGAAGTGAATCCGCCTCCTCGGGTGACATCCACTTCATGGTCATGGCCATCCGTCGCCTGCAGGTTTCCGACGATCTTTTCGTCGGAGTCGCGACGGCTGCAGGGCGTACCGCAGCTCTGCGGCTTCTTCTCGGTGGTGGAAACGGTGGTCGCATCCCAAGCGTGTGGAAACCTGAAAAGAAAAAACATATCAAATAAGTTGGAAAAAAAGGAAAACCATGTCAAAGAATTTGGGACGTTCATGGCAAAGCCGACCTAACCAGCTGGAAACACATGGGTGTTCTACTCGTAGAGCGCCCCAAATCATCTCATGTACCAGCTATGTCAAATGTACTAAGTTCAGCCTCCATCCCCAGACTCAAAGAGTGGAGACCTCATGCCTCAATCCGCAAAACATGGCGATTTCCACTGGTGGAAGCCGCTTGTTTCACCCTTCAAGCTACCCGTACGTCCACCGAGCATCGCATCGCAGCATGGTAGGAAAACAAACTGTTATTATGTATATAACGCAACCCCCGTCATCAAAGGAGCTTATACAACCAACCCTATTTAAAAGTCAGATGGGGGGTGAGCACCAAATATGCTTTTGAGCCTCGACTCCACTAGGTGTTGTTAATTGTGGGGTGATAGTTTGTACTAAGACGTACCAAGTTTGAATCAAGGGACAACCCAGTGCCAGGGTCAAATCAACTGGCAACACATGATGTGTTGCTGGGTGTGTTAACCAAGGAATGTGCAAATTTGGGTAGGCTTTGCATTGGCCAAACAAAGCCTATACAATGGTTCCTGAATGGTTGCTTTCGTGCAAAGAGCACTAAAAGTAGCTTTGGCAGAACAAATCGAGTCATGACAATGCAATATACTGTAAAACTAACGATATATTATATATATATATAAACATAGTAAAAGTAGGAACTGTTTTATACCAGTGCTGACATAAAATGCATGGGGAATAAACAAACCGCAGGGAACGAAATCAATAATTTGTGGTCCAAAAAATTGTGTCATCCACCTTGACCCTGTTGCACTTGTTTAAAGTTTAAAGAGTGTTTGGATTTAAAAAAACTATATACATTGATTTGCCAAATTTACTCTGAATTTTTGCAAGTTGAACAGAGCCCTTGCCATCTGCGTATGTGTGCATGACAGTGAACAACTTCCTTCTATACCAACTCTCTGGTTCTTGATGCCCTGACCCGGTACTGCAAATCCATCCGCAGCGTTACCCTGGTTACCGCGCCAACTTTGCGGTCGTCCAGTGACCACCGGCGCCAGGACTTTGGCCGCCCTGGCGAACGAGCGGAGCGTGTCCCGAGCGAAGCGAAAGAGCAAAACGGTTTGTCACCCGCACTCATTCGGGGACTCATCATGTTACATAAACACCCAGCCGGGCTGACAACGCTTGCGCTTTGTGTGTCGACAATGAAAATCTTGAACTAGTGAATTCCAAATGTCTCATTCCCAATGTGGTTCAATTCAACTCGCGCTTTGCTGCAGCGAAATATGCATTTTCATCCAAGTTCATCCCTTAAACATGCATTTTGGGGGGGAAAGGGCAGTTTGCTACTTCGCCCGCCGACGCGAAACACGGCGTTCTGAATGTGAGTCCTGAACGAACAGGGGCTCTCACTTGGGGGTCCTTTCCAAAGTATTTGTAAAAAGGATTGAGCAAGGTCCATCTAGGCTTGTTCCGTTTTCAATGCCTGGGAAAAAAATTGGCAGAGTGGGCCCAAAATCTTGTTTGCAGCCGGAGGCAGAGCCTGCACTATAGAATGGATTACCCCAGCTACAAGGATGGACACCAGTTCACTATAGAATGGGGAACCCAGACCGACCAAAACCAGCCAAAATGACACCTTTGTACGCATATAGCCTAAAATAGAGCCTACCATAATTTGGCTTACCCCACCCGCCCTTCAAACGTTCATTGTGTCAAAATGAACGCTCAAGCGCACACATTCCAAAAATATATATATAACACATTTTATAAGAGGTCAGTATTGCAAGGAAATGGAAATTTCATAAAAGTTTCAGGTCCAGTTTCCACTTGCCTAGGTTATTGAGCGCGCGATGCCTAGGCGTGTGATTGAACACCGCAAAGTTGCGGCTGCAAAGCCTGGTGGTTTGCGGAGCAGGCGCTTGATGACTTGGAGGTGCAAAGAGGTTTGAAACAAAGGGCCTGTCAGTTTGGCTTAGATGTGTTATTTCTCATTTTTGCGCTTTTCATTGAGCCAATTGTTTTTGCCTTCAAAAATGCTGCGCTTATACAATGGCTGGAGTCCAGCACCTGCAACAGCTCACGATCTGAGATTGTAGGAAGATTGATGTTCCATAGAATGGACAGGCCCAAAAAGGGCTGTCCATAAATTGAGTGCCCCTCCAGTTTTGGAGTTGATGAAATTTTGACGGGGAAATATTTGAGCCAACCCTGAAGAGATTCGGGCTCAGAACGTCAAAGATCAAAAAGGATTCGGTATGCTGCGTTCAGAACCCAAGTTTTTGAAACGCAAGTTCTGAACGCCAAAACGCTCGAGCCGAGCGATCAAAGAATTTTGCTATTGGCTACAGCGAAACGCAAATTCCCAGCATAGTTCTCGGACATGCCAACAGCAGCATTCGTTTCTGGCGAGAAAGCTTCAGCGGCCAATGAGGTTTGCAACTGCGTGTCCTGTGCACGCATCAAATCTTTTCCCGTGTTTCCCCACCTCCAACAGTATCTTTGCAAACACTTGAAGATGTGCGGGTTGACCTCAACGTTGGACGTTAACATACGTAGGCGTGTGCATGGAGGTGGGAGTCGCCAACTGTCCACGAGCACAAAACCCATCTTAGAACTAGTGTTCACATCCAGTGACGGTTGCGGCCCCCGTCTCTTGACAACATTGAACTCCCCTTCGCAGTGGTTGCATGCCAAGTGTACTAGGCCGACCTGCCTAGCCAAAGCTACATATGCTGGAGCCCCATCCGTCACCGGCCTGACCTTTGGCCTTGGGATCAATGTCCCCCACGGCCTCGCAACGCAAAGTGCGTTCTTTGGATTCAGGCGGTGGTTTACCTCCTGCTTTTGCAGAAACCACACCCAAAGAGCATAGGTGCACCTTACGTGCCTCTTCAAAGGTGGGGTTCAAAGGCGGCCTTTCCAGCAATCCCAAAATCCCAAAACTTGGAGGCACTTGTCGTCTCCATTCTCATCCTTCCACTTTCTGCAAGAAGTCGCATCCGCCTCAACAACTCCACTCAAACGTCGCGAAGAGTCTATCTTGCCAGCAACAAACCTCATGATGAGGTGCGTTGGTCATGACTCCGCAAGGTCGTCGGGCTTCAGCTCGGTCTGGTTGAACTGGCGAGCTGGGGGGTTTTGATGGCTGACTGGGTGTTCGGGCTGCGGTGAAGCTTCCGATTGTCGTTTCACCTGTTGCATGGCCGCTACAGCCCAACGAAGATGCGGAAAGGCTTGGAAAGGTAGAGTTTCAAAAGAGCGAGGACTGCTGGCAAGGTCATTCTCACTAGCTTTAATAAGACTAGAGCATACAGCCCATGTAATACCCTTTGCCGTCCGCACATCGAAAAAGCTGTCGGCCATGTGCTCTGCACTGGTTGCGCTTGAAGGAAGCTTTTCCCAGATGCCTCTGCAGTCACACCTGTCGTAAAGAGACGGCGAGCGCCGAATGAGTACAACACAGCTATCTTTTTTACTTTTAAGAAGCCCTTTCTGGCCAACCAACGCCATGGCCTGCATCAGTCTAAAACCACTTCGTTCGCAGAAGCTCTTTGTAGGAATCTCTCACCGAAGCTTTGGTCACTTTTGGTCGCTTGTCCATGTCTGTAGTCTGCCTCGGTTTTCAGGAGCCTTCTTTTCGTCTTCTAAATGTTGCTTCTTGCCTTCCGCGAGCTTGTTTTCTCGAGATTTTTGTCGGCAAAGCGACAACCTGGGCTGCACTATTGTTCTTGAGGAAGGCACACTCAGTGAGAGTAACACAACGACATAAGTGCTTCCAAAGTCTTGTACATGCAAGCTCTTGTTGGCAGGCACTTGCTAGAAGCCTTTTCTTTCTGAACGTCCAAAGGTAGAAGTGCAACCTGGCCTAAAAGCATTGTGGAGGAACTACTCTCACACTCTACATTTACAGTTGCCACGTCTGAGTGTCAGCGCAGTAGCAGGTGCAGGGTCTATGACACGGATTTTTCACAGATCTTCAGTGGTTCGCTTAATTACTCATGCCCCGCCCGCTTCAAGCAGCTCTCAAAAGAGAAGTAGCTCCGGCACAAAAAGCGGCCCCACATTAGCCACTTGCTCAGCAGAGCATGCCTGGCTGTACCAATGTTGTCTTCTTCCAAGTTGGTCATGCTCCCACCACAAAGGGCAGAGCCCCGAACGAATTCGGATGCGCATTGCTAAAGACTGCTTCACAGAACCGTGAAATTTGCCCTTGGCGATACCATACCTCTCCCCAAACATCTTGCCAGGATACAGAGCTGCTGAGCTGCGTGTTCAGCTCTTTTGCCTGTATACTTGAGGCCAGTGGAGGTGAACGAAAGCTAGCCACTGCTGGGCGCGGCTTGTTGTTCCGACGCCAGAGCAGTGCGACTCCAGCAAGAGCGACTCCAACTAGCGGAGGCTAGCTCTGATTAGGAGGTGAGGTCATCTCATGAGCCACCATGGGGATTCTTCTCCACAATGCCTTTGATGGAAATCATGAGGATGATGAGTATGGCTATACCTGGGAGAAGGGGTGAAGGAAGTAATGGTATCGGGTGATGGGCCATGGGCTTTGCATTTTCTGTGATGGTATATAGGTATGAGAAGAACCATGGGGGAATAGGTATGAGTCGGTATGAGAAGAACCAAATAAACATAGAGTTTGGCTCATCAGCGCAGGACTCTTCCGTTTTGATACATCCCTTGCTGCACTTCACACCTGGGTACCACCAAACCATCTGGACAGCGCCCCACCCGTTGCGATCGATGAAGATCTTCGTCGGCATGACACTGCCTCGGAAAGGCACAACCGCGCCGAGAACTGACCGCTGGGGTCGGGGTGGAGCGTCCAAACAAACGGCCAAAATGGTCATCCCTGAAATGGCTCTTTTTTGATCCAGGGGTCTTCTGTATTCTCCATCTCATCCAGCAGTTCCATAGACTTCTGGTGTTCTCTTCTTGCAAAATGTATCATCTTTGTGAAGAATCCTGAGACCTGAGACCCGAACCACTTCGCAGGGTCTGGACCGAACCCTCCTTTGTATTGGTGCGGGCCCGGAATCGAAACTATGCCAGATGCCGAGGATGGACGAAACCCTGCCGGGTTTCGGTTGGTCCATCACCATCGGCACTACCCTTCCGTGCCTCTTCTTTGGGTGTCTCAAAATCACCGAAAACAATCACCAAAGCCCAGTGTCATCTCTTATCAGTGTTTCGCACGAGCTCCACTCGGTGTTTCACATGAGCTCCACTCGGAAATCTTCCGTATATGATCCATCGCCACGGCAGGATCCACTTGTAGGTCACCAAAAAGACGACCCAAAAAAATGCTTCGGTCGCCGGACTGGGATCTGGATTCCATCGATGTTTTTTTCCACTCACCCTTAGAATCCGGGCCCTCAAACACATAGGGTTTTGAGGGCCAGATCCCTGCCATTGAGGGTCCGACCCCTGCCATGGAGAGCCCAAGGGCAGGAAAGGTCACTGTGATTCACTTGCCTCCTGGATCTTCCAAGAGAATGTCTGCACATGTCGGCCCGGCGCTCGTCCGAATGTTTGGATTTGCGGCGAAGCCTGGAAAACATATATGAACACATCACCTATTCCTCAGGTTTAGGGATTTACCCGTGGGGACAAACATCCCGAAGGCAGACATGTTATACAGTTGGAAGATCCAGGTAGGATCTAGTCACAGGATTTTCCGCCTCCGCACTGCATTGGATATGCGATAGATCATGAGACAAGCGACCAGGGACTGTGTTTCTAAATGTGTCTATCATAACAATATCACACTACACAAAGAAAAATTACATGACTGAGTACTGATGAGTCATGGGTTAGAGTCATCCTCAATGCCTTAGATCGATATCAATTGAGATGATTTGGACCCCCCCACCCTTACTTGGACTGAATTATCTTGGATTTGCTTAAGGAATCGTAACAAAAACAAAACATATTCCCCAGAAGGGGATTCACCAACAGAAATACCAAAATCATCCTAAGCAAAACCAGGCTTATGACATACCACCTGGCCGTCTCCTTTCTCCACTGGTGCCCGACCTCATCGGGGAAGTCAGTGACTCACCCATTCCGACCGGTCCGATCCAACTGATTCCCCGAGGGCCCATGCTCACCGCTTGTGCGAAGGGCTGCTCGCTCTCCTCGATCAAGGCCTCCAGAAACCGATTCCGCCGCCGAACATTCCGCCGCCAGGGTTTGGCGGCACCACGGTCCAAACCCTGGGGGTTCTGGTTTTGGTTCCAGCAACCACGCCGGTTTTGGTGGAAATGAGTTGGAGGGAACAAAAGCATGCAGGCAATCGCTGGACAAAGATGGTTGGGGGCTTGGTTCCTGCCAAGATTGATTTCCAACAACGGGAGACCCCCGAAAGAATGCATGTTTGATTGAAGACTTTAAAGGAGAGATTGAAGGATTTTTGTGGGCTTGTCCAATTGTCCAAAACGAGGGCGAGACTCACCGTGGCTGTAATGGCCATGCTATCAGGCCATCATTCCTAATCTATCTTCTGTTCTGACCCAATATCTGCTAGAACATGTGAACCCCACAACCCAACACCACCCGGGCTTGTTCCCCCGCAAAGGCTCGCCTATTCTGTGGTGCTGGGCCAGAAATCGTAGCATCAGAATGTGCAATTGAAGTGATGAAGAAATCGTTTGAACGTCGAACACACCAAGATCAGAAGTGGTGCCCAACTACTCTTCAACTCGTCGAAATCTGTACCGAAATCTGTACCTCCGCGACCAGCTGCACCCAATGGGCTGCATGGGCTGCGCCTCGACGCCCAGCAGAACCTCCTTAGCAATCAGCGCCGCATGCCGCGCACTGAGCTGCATCTGCATGGCCTTGCGGATGGGAGGGCTGCAGGCGGATGGCTGCCCCACAGGCGACCCGCAGGCGACCATGGCTTGCAAGCCTGGGGAACAAAAAGGAAAAGTACCTGGACCATTCTGTCTGGGTGTCCTGGCCGAGGATCCATAAGTATAGGATAGTATAGGACTTAGTCCTTTGGGCACTCCTTGGATGGTCTTGATATGATGATCAGGACCTCCCTGGTGACCTTTGAGGTCACTGGCAAATGCTGAAAAGGTCACTGGGAAGGTCCTGGAAAGTAATCCTTCCCAAAATGTTCGTCTCTCTGCTTCGGTCCTTTCAACCGCTTCTTAAGGTAACATTCTGGGCCACATAGAATATGAAACAATCCAAAAACATTAGTGAATCTTCCATGATCTTCCCATGTTCTATCTAGTCCAGGATACAGTTCCAAGCTTTGCCCTGTACAGGCCAAAGACCTTGTTTTGCTCAATGTTGATCATTAAAAAACAGTTCTCAATGAGGTTCTACAGTACGGACCAGGTTTGGACCTGGGTCAGACTGGACCTGGGTCTCGAAGTCCAGTCTGTGTTTGTTTGTGTCATCGTTCTATCCGGCATCCCATCCGGCCTTTTGGGTCATCACATACTCCATCAAGTTGCCTCAGTGTCCGCCAGTTTCAACGGACATGTGCAAAATCCAACACACCCAATGTCTCAAGGAGTGTGGGTGAGTGAAAGCCGGTGAAAATGATTGGAAAGCTTCAGAACCAAACTAACTTTGATCAACAACCCCCTTAGGGGCCAAGAGAGAACTCCTCCCAACTCCCATCTGTGTCAACATCAAACCTGCCACAGGTCAACCACTCTGGCTACCCCCCTCCAGCCGTCTCAGCCTCTAGTTTTCAGGCTCCCGAGCCATATTGACAAAACGGGTACGCGAGATAGCAGCGGCTGCTGCGCCTGGTTGCAGGCAAAGAAGAATTCGTCTGCTGCTGAGCCCATCGAAACGGTCTCCCGCCACGGAACTTGTGGCCAGCCAAATGCCACTCGGATTGGTGGGGCAATTTGTCCTAAATCTTTGAGGTGATGATATGGTGATGATCATTGCTGCTCTGACTCCCTTCGACTCCCTTCAAAGGACCTCTGCAGGACCGGTCTCTTGCAGGACCGCACCTAGTCACGGAAACCGTCGCCCTTTGGGGGGCCTCCCTGTTCCAAACCCAGCGGGTGGGGCACTTCAACTCCAGGATATCACCAAATCACATCAAGGAGTGACCTTGTAGCAGCACCCTACAGGGGTGCCTATGGGATAGTCCAGAGGGTTCTGAAGAACCTCTGTTGGTCACATCAAGGTTTGAGGCGACGGCACCAAACTCCGGGTGTCCGCACACATCGAAACCCTCCAGAGGCCTGGGAGAGAGCGGCGCTGGCTCCCCAGCGCCGCGAGAAAAACGACGCATGCGATGTGAGGCGTGCAGATCCAAGTTCGGCCCGCAGATCGAGGGCTTAAAGATGTTTTGTTTGATCTTTAGGACCACCACAGAGTCCAAGATTTGCGCTGGCAGGTCACTGAGACCCTCCGGTCGTCACCGATTATTCCGGAGGTGGTGGACGACCACTGAGGCGCCCGGCACCTCGGCCACAGCCTAGGTGTGGGAAACGCTTCAGAAGCGCAAGAAAAGGTCCGAAGCGATCCTGTCAGAAATGGTCTGAAGAACCTCTTTCCAAGGGTGCAAAGCTAGTTCTTTGGATTTCTTTGGTAAGTATTTCTGCGGTCCATCTTTCGAAAGATCTGGAAAAACCTCGCACTCTTCAGTGCAACGCGGATATTCGGATGGACCCATGGATGTTGGGGCAGTCTCTTTCAAACCAGGCAGTTCTGCTTCTACACATCTATCTGCAAATCACCTCCCTGAATCACAGCACAATCCGGGCTCTAAACACCTGAACCCGCGCGCGAGCCGCGGGTGTGTGTGTGTGTCCACCCCTGGACAAAGGGTTCTCAACCAACTTCGGCAGGGGATGGAGACACCTGTATTGCTTCTCCATCAACGAAGCTGGCAATACATGGTGAGGATATCAGTTCCGGACGCGGAACTGACGTACCTGCTTTCAACACATTGACTCCACTGGTCCACCCTGCCGCTGTTCGTTGTTTTCATGGTCCTTCTTCATGCTACCTTCCCCACAAACAGGTTTTTCCACTGCACTTCTTAGCCGATCGTGAGTTGCAGCCAGCCGCCGACTGCAGACTTGCACCTGTGGAAACATTTTTAAACAATACTGTTTGGACCGACTCATGCGCCTTGCCGTTCCCTCACCATTTTCCCAACGTGGTAACTGAGTCACTGAAAACCAATGTCAGAGTGTGTTTCGCTCAGCCGTCCCACTCGGGTGCTGAGTGTGATCCCCGTCACAGGGGCGCCGTTTTTGCATAGGAAATCATCCACCCCAACTTGCCAC